GCCCGAATTACGTAACGTAACAAAGGACGTTCCGCTCAGACCGATCATCAGCTCCAGAGACTCGGCTACACAAAACTTGTTTGAATTTTTACTCCCCATAATACAACCATTACAAGGAAAAACATCGTCTTTTGTGAAGAATTCAAGGCATTTTGTCGTACTACTACGGGCAATTGATGTCACACATGAAGATCAACTGATCAGTTTCGGCGTGGAAAGCCTTTATGGCAACGTTCTGGTAGAAGAAGCACTCCAAATCATACAGAGGAAGCTATCTGAAGACGGGGACCTGAAAGACAGAACGAATTTACCTATAGAAGTAATTATGGAATTGCTAGGATGCTGTATACGAAACTGTTATTTCCAACTTAAGGACGAATTCTTTACACAAGATGAGGGACTGCCAATGGGATCGCCACTTTCATCAGTCATAGCCAACATATATATGGAGTGGTTTGAAACTCTGGCCATTGAAGAAGCCCACAAGAAACCTTGTGTCTGGTTGAGATACGTTGATGACACCTTCATAATATGGAACCATGGGAATACTGAACTAGACGCGTTCCTGAAACACAACAACAGTGTAAGACCTTATTCCATCACTTTCACAATGGATAAGGACGCCCACAACGAATTGCCATTCTTAGACGTATTGGTGAAGAGGACCGACACTAAGTGGGAAACATCTGTATACTGAAAACTCACTCACACGGGACAGTATCTGAACCACGAATCCAACCACCATCAATTGACTTAAAAGAGGAGTCATCAAAACTCTATTAGATCGTGCTTTCTGACTTTGTAATACGAATGAATGTCTCGAGAAGGAACTAGACATGATCAAAAATGATCTTCAACAAAATGGCTACTCAAAAGCGATGGTGGAACAGACTTTGGCTAAAAGACAGCAGGAGCCCCGAAAGGAAGAGAAGCCGCCACAAGTAGTGCTTGCACTTCCCTACATCAGAGGATTATCGAAAAAGATACGAAGAATTGGATCCAAATACAACATCAGAACCTGCTTCAGCACAGTGAGGGGAAACCAGCAAATCAGGAATGGCAGAGCATGTTTGGACCCATCAACATAACATCGAATGGTCCCAAGCTGAGATCATACACAAAGAGGAACATTGGTTTATGATAAAATTCAAAGAAGCTGCATACATGTTATTCAACAATGTATTCAGTCAAGCTAGTGTAGAGATACACAACATATGGAAACCCATAATCAAGCAAAAAATGGCCAACTCCCGCCAAACGGTCATCTCCCACTAAACCAGTGAAGCCGAAAAAGGAAAGCAGAGATAAGTGAAAGTACTCAAATAATAAATAGTCAGATCAAGGAGGAATCAGTCCAGTCGTCACCCGAAGACGATTGTGGATACTAACAATCGAAACCTCGTGAAGTAACTTGGTTTGGAATCTCTAAGCTTTTCAATTTTATTTTTATATTTTTGTTCAATTTGTTTCTTTTTCACTTGCATTTTATTTCACTATTATTTCATTTGTTTTTTTTTTTGCTTAATACGATTGTTTTTTCAGCTATTCATTTTTATTCTTGTTCTTCAATTTTTTAATTCTTCTTTTTTAGTTCTTTCAGGGACTTCAAATCATGTTACATAATATAAGACAATGGAAGTCCGAACTAATGAAATTCATCATGAAACATTGTCAATCACCTTCAAACAAACATATATTTTATTTTTAAAAAATACAATAGACTATAACACTAAAAAAATGAAATGAAACTGAGAGAATCTTTAAAGATGGAACACTATTATTTTGGAAAACTTATTCATTATCAATTTCAATAGAAATAAAATAGCAGATGGAAAAAGTGATGATGATCGACTTTATTCATGTGAAGTTGACGAATGGAAAATAAAAATGTGGTACTAACTTTCTGAACAAAAGAGTGGAGTTCAACTTAAACGAAGAATAAATTATAATAACATATATTTGTGAAGATATAGAAATGACCAAATTGATTAAACGAGATTGGATGGTGTAAAAGTTGAAACTTGAAGAGACCAATTATTATTTGTACTCGATGGGCGTTTCGCTAACAGCGATGTTGCCAAACCCTTCTCTGCTCTAATATGGGTTCAGTTTTTATTAGATGGCAGCACTTGACGGGTAAAAATTCATTGAATAAGGAAAACACGTTTTATAGATTAGTCAAACATTATTTCATATTTTATTTTATGAAGAAGTTGACTATATTTAATCGTACAATGTCGCTATCTTAAAAACTTTGAAATTCGTCAAAGTAATAAAAAGTTGAAAACATGTTTGGAAAAATAAATGGAAAACAATGAGTTAGCAACATTCTTCGTTACACTATCGATAAGTTTCCCCTATACATATTTTTTATGTAACATCTCATTTCTTCACAAAGATTTTTCGCGATTTTCAATATGGAGCTGCCACTCCATAGGGCTCTTAAGAAATAACAGCCATATAGAACATTTTCTGGTCATCATGATATAAGTACAGATTTTGATCTTCCAACAGATTATAGGTGTGTCCCTAAGGTCACACCTATGATTTAAATTTTTAGGTTATAATACTGGTAATTCAATTATCCCTAACAATTATTTCGAAGAGGAAGGTATCATATGAATGGTTTTTAAACCTCTGTAAAACCACAGAGATGTCAAAAACAGATATGTCAGATTTAATAGATCAATGTATTTGTGTTAAGATGAATGAAAAACAGTTAATCAATTAAAATCTTATGTCCTCATCTAATGAGTATGATACATTATTAATGTAATATTTCAATATTTAACAACTTTTTACCTTATATATCTTTGTAATATCTTCTGCTATTGTTCTTGTCCAGTTGGAATCTGTACTCTCTACAATCAACTCACTCAAAGTGGTCCCCAAGGAAAACGGATTCTTCTGGTTGGTAACTCTATCCTCATATCTCACATGAATATTTTTTATGTTCAATTGTATGTTTTTTATTATCGTAGCTACTAATTTTTGAGTAAACTCTTGAGTCCATCCCAATTTACTTGAGGGTTTCCCTAAAAAAGCAAAATGTTATTTGATCAATAATACAATGTATTTCATTGAAAATCAATATTTGAAATAATCATTTGATTGAATATTTTTTGAAATTTTTAGTCAAAGAGGGAGCAGTTCTCTCGCATTATATTCACAAGTACCCAACAAGGATTGGTTAAAAACCTTCAAATCATATATATTTTAAATGAACTAAAAGAACAATTCGTCAGGCCAGTCTCGACTTACCTACACTATAGGTTAATAGACTGGCACTTATCAGAAAACAAATTTTCCCCTGGCTAATACCACAAAGGGCGTTGGACTACATCCAACAGATGTCAGTGCAGAGGTATCTTTACAGAAGTGTTTCCTTCATATGCTGTTGGCGATACAACCGTTGGAATCGATTTTCAATTAAAGGAAAGGGCATACTTGCAGACCGGTTTCGCGCTATTGGGCCTCTCATTACATAGTTTGTCCGACTGTGTTTAAGACTGTTAGAACTAAATCCAACTCTTCACTGAATAATCAATACTGAATTTTGACACTGAATTGTTTATTGTTTGTGATCCGACCTAAATATAATAATCTGGATGACGTTATTTCTCATTGAACAAATGTCACAAGTGAGTGGCATATGAACACAATTTTCAGAAAATTAGCAAATAAACAAGGCTATGAATCTTAATGGACATCTGTTGCCGACTTGGTATTCATTCATTCTGAATTGTATTCTGATTTTTAAGCATTCAATACTATTTAATTGACTCTCCAAACAAGTAAGTACATACCTTTATCAGCTTCCGTTTTTTTTGCTTCCTCAATTCGCTGTATCTCTTTCATTTTAAACTCCAATTTCCTTTTCTCCTCTTTTACTTCATCATATTGTACTTGTTGGTTTGGTTGCAGCAATAAATATATTCCTTCCAAGCATACTACTGAAGGTGACGTATAAACAGTTTTCCATGGTATTTTCAATACAAGTTTCTCTAAGGGAAAAAAAACTAAGTTAATACATTGATATGCAATAAATCGATTTTTTTTCATCAGGAAATATAGTAGAATTTTCCCGGGAGAGAAATTTAATAATTATGAATATCATAAGTATCCATAAATTATTCTAAAAAAATCTTATATGGCCACTCGCTGACTCTAAATTACTACTTGTAATATTTTTAAAAGCCCACACTATGAAGCAAACCCTATCCAAAACCTATAGATAAATGATTAAAAGGCAGACTGGTATCATAAGACTATTATAACATTCAAATGATCTGATCTGCCCTATACTAATTTAAACTCAAAACCAGTCTATAAATAGATTGTCCACTCAAGTTAAATTATTTACAATTATTACTTACTTCGGAAATGAAATAAGTAGAGACTTTATATGTAGTTCTTATAGCGTAAAATTTATAGAAATAATCATTTCTAATTTTATTTGGAATAAATGTTTTCTTATGAAAACCAAAAACTGAATCAAGACCAGAGAGTTGACAGAACTGAAGGAAGTATTCTATCTGTTAAAATATGTTTTCCGATAAACTCCTTTACGAACGACAATCTCCTTTGTGCTTTGTTCACTCTCTCAATCGACCGATGTGTGAGTTGGTGGTTCCAGCTGCACGCTGACTATTAATTATTAAATAGGAAGTTTATACTTGTTAAGTATAAACGATTACCAGTCCGTCATCAATTAAAGAAACAACAATTGCTACTCACGATAAGATTCTATTTCTAGTGAATTTGCTCTCTAGTGCTCTTTTGCCCCTTCTAGCAACGACTACAGTTGATGACACTGATATTGACGCTCAACGAAAAATACTTTCGGACTTTCGTATTTTGATATAAAAGCTACATATTTAGAACGTTTCAATGAAAACTCAGTTTGTGTGAGTGGAAATTCACATGTTACGCAAAGTCATGTGAAACTTCCAAAAATAGAATTGTTCAAATGTGATCGTTCTCCACTTGGAATACGTTTGTTGACACATTTCAGCCCCTAAATCACAATGAAGCCGGAATTAACCTGGAATTATATTATTGTGTCGTAGTGTGTCGTGACGCGCCACAAGTATATCGTATCCATACATTTAGTATGTTCAGAATTATATTACTAAAGTGCAGTGTGTCGGGATGCGATCTGTCGTGACGGTGGTCGGTCGATTCCCGATCGGCGTCAGAACGATGGTGGGGTTCTGACGCGTCAGAACACTCCACACTAGTATGTTTCTAATATGACACATTAACTAGCTAGAGAATGGTCGTTTGCATTTATTTGTGCACAAGACGTCGGACGAGCTTATTGAACTTGTTAGAAAATACGGGTTTGCATTTTTTTAAATATAATTTTCTATCATACTCTACTCAAATTGATTTTTTGACATCCTGAAATATTGATGAAATCTTTCTTCATCACTAGTAAATGATTTCGCTTTGACTACCTCTCAGATCATTTACTGAATGGACCAAATATTTTCTCTTTTTTCTTTTCAAGTAATCTTCACATTAGCAGGCACGTAAGGTTTTCCTGAATATCACTATCCGAATCGGAGGAAAGTATTGTAGATGCTCGCATGCATTTACTCCAAAGGCCACCAATTTATTGGCTCGAAATAACATCAGAGCGCGCCCCGACACGACAGAATAGTCTGTACACTCGCCGTCACGTCAGAGAGCATCACAACACAAAACAACATAATAATGTAAAGCCGGAATTATATTATTGTGTCGTGGTGTGTTGTGACGCGCCACAAGTATATCGTATTCATACATTCAGTATGTTTAGAAATATTATTGTGTCGTGGTGTGTCGTGACGCGCCACAAGTATATCGTATCCATACATTTAGTATGTTTAGAATTATATTACTGAAATGCAGTGTGTCGGGACGCTATCTGTCGTGACGGCGATCGGTCGATTCCCGATCGGCGTCAGAGCGATGGTGGGGTTATGACGCGTCAAAACACTTCACACTAGTATGTTTCTAATCTGACGCGTTGACTAGCTAGAGAATAGTTGTTTGCATTTATTTGTGCACAAGATGTTGGACGAACTTATTGAACTTGTTAAAAAATACGGGTTTGCATTTTTTAATATCATTTTCTAACATAGAATGTAATATCTCAAATTGATTTTTTGACATCCTGAAATATTGATGAAATCTTTCTTCATCACTAGTGAATGATATTCGCTTCGACTACCTCTCAGATCATTTACTGGATGAACCCAATATTTTCTCTTCTTTCTTTTCTTTTTAAGTAAACTTTACATTAGCAGACACGCAAGGTTTTTATCAATATCACTATCCGAATCGGAAGAAAACATTGAAGATGCTCGCATGCGTTTACTCCAAAGGCCACCACTGTATTGACTAGAAATAACGTTAGAGCGCGCCCCGACACGACGGAATAGTCTGCACACTTGCCGTCTCGTCAGAGAGCATCACAACACACCACAACATAATAATGTTATTCCGGTTTAATACTGAGTTGAGCAATATTAAAAAGCTCAACTATCTGATTTTATTCCGAAATGGCCCGCCATTAACATTATTGAAATGCAACCTTCTAACAAAGTATCAGAATGGAAGAAAATTACGCCGCATTGATCATCGTCATTTCCCACAGATTCATAGGAATTTCTCATTTTAAACATGTTTTCGAAAAAATTAAATATGATGGAATTGGCCGATATTTGATGAAAATCCATAATGAATTCAAGTAACACTTTATTGTGAGATTTTAACCGACAGTTTACAAAACCGCAAACAACCACAACACATGTTTCGCTACAGAAAAGGTTCTTAAAGCGTTTTCATACTCGTGTTGGACTACCGCAACTCGTGTTTCGCTATACAAATAGCTTTCTCAAACTTTTCGAATTCACGGCTCCCTTATGTTTTTTGAAGGTTATCGCGGCGCCCCGAACGTAAAGACTGCACTAGATATTTAATTAATAAAAGTAGGTAGGTGGCTGTCTGAACGGATTGCATTTTGCAATTACCGATATTATCATATTATCAGAGGATTTTTATTAATAGGTACCGACGTATTACCTTTACTCTCAGTTATCTATGTTGTAAAACGTTGTACCTTGAGACTCACCCGTGGCCCACGGCGCCCCAGTAAAGGTTCCATGGCGCCCCAGGGCGCCGCGGCGCACACTTTGAGAAACACTGGAACACTGGAAACGCATCACGTGTTTTGCTATATAATAGCTTTCTCCAGCGTGTTTATACTTGTGTTTCGAAAGTAATCAGAAAACTATTGTATATCGAAACGTGTGTTGCGGTTTGTTAAAATCTCACGATAAAGTGTTATTTGAATAAATCGTTTTTGTTTCTCGTATTGAAATTGGACATGGTTCAAATGAAATTCTCAAATACTAATGCTTGATAGAATTTTGTCAAAAGCAATGTGACTTGACACATTTGATTATAGTGTTACGTTTTAGCGGAACTAAAGGAGGGCAATAGAGAAAGAGATGTATTTATTCAGAAACTAAGGAAAACATCAATGGTCCTTGAAGATGAAGTTGCTGGCGCTGAACAAAATTACATTAGCAAACTTAACGAACAAAAAATAATCATCTCAGAACAAAAAAATTAAATTACTAATATCATTCAAAAAAAGGCTGTCTTACAGGAAGAATTAGAACAATAAAAGTTGACTCGAACAGATATCAAAATGATTCACCATACCACAGCGCTATCAATAAAAACATGATGACATTTGAAACAATGGCACAGGAGAAAGAAGTCTATTTAGAAGAACTAGAGAAATTAAAATGTGATTATGCCAGTTTGAAGCAAGACCACAATAATACGAAACTATCAGAGAAAAGGTACAGCACCACGAAACAACTCAACTTAGTGGAAAAGGAAAAATTAGAAAATAAAGGAAACATATATCTTGAAGTATCCTTACAAGCTGACACGAAAATAATTTGAATGTCAACAAAAAATTACGCATCTTGAAGTTGGATAATATCCATTTTTTGGATTGAAATAACTTTATAAGGCGTTCAAACTACACAAGAGATGGATTCGGGCTGAAGGCAGTGGTAGCTCGCTATTTAAAATCTGTTTAAATCTGGGTAGAGATATAATGAAGATAATCAATGAATTACGGTATAGAAGAAATAACCGAGAAAACCTGAAAAAATAGACATGCTTCAGGACAACCAGGATAGTTCCAAAATACTTTTAGGAACTCAAGGAGCGACGTTCTTTTTAGGGACGGAGACACCAAATACCACCAGAGGACTTGACAAATCAAAAAAGCCTGGAATAACAAAAAACTGTAATGGTGACAAAAGAGTATCATTGTTGCTGTTGAACATCCAATCTGTACGCAATAAGGTTAATGAACTTTATATTTTTCTTGAAGAACATACTTTTCCAAATTTTGTTTTCCTAACAGAGCATTGGCTAAGAACCCTTTGAATGCCCGAATTACGTAACAGCTTCAAAGTATTGTAGGACATAATCTCTGCATGGGGGAACAATGATTCTAGTCGATAAAAATGCTCTCAAAGATCTGACGCTAAACAATATTGATAAATTTGATCATCTCATAGTTGAAAAGGAATTTGAATTCTCGTTAATACATGATACTAAGAAACATATCTTTTTTATTTGTATTTATAGACCGCCAATGTGTAATGTCACAGATTTTTTATATAGATTGGAGATTCTATTGTCAAACCTTCCAGTCAATTCTCACCGTATTGTAGCTGGAGATCTCAACATAAATTATGATGACAAAAATTCTGCATCTACTCAGGCACTCGACACATTGCTCTTATCATATAACTTGAAAATATCAGTTCAAGAAACAACACGAATCTCACAACATTCATCTTCTACTATAGACTATATTTGCATAAACCTGGATGAAGAAAAATTGACGTGCAGTGTGATCCCAGCTGGTCTATCAGACCATGAAGGTATTAAAAGTAATAACTCAAAGAAATCATTCAAGTTTGGT